GACTCCTCAGAGTGACCCTCCTGGCCCCACTTCTCTGTAAGAGTTGTGGCATGGTTACTGTCTCCGCCGCTCGCTGCGACATTTTTCAGTTTGATGATTTCCTTTTGGTTCTTTTTTTATATCTTCTGTCTGTATCTTGAGATTTTCTATTTTTTCATTTATGTGAAGGGAATTTATAATTACTTGTTGAAGCCTTTTTATGATGGCTGCTTTAAAATCCTTGTCACATAATTCCAACATCTGGTTCATCTCAGTACTGGCATCTGTTGATTGTCTTTTCTCACCCAATTTGTGATTTTCCTGGTTATTGGTATAATGAATAATTTTCTGTTGTGTGGCTGGGGGTGGAGGGGAGTGAAGCATAGTGGTGACTAGCCAGGCCTCATTAAGTGTTGTTGCTGCTGGGTGAGGGTAGTGGCTCAGCTCACCTCTGAACCTGCTGACACTGCCCTGGCAGAGGAGTCAGAGCACCAGTTGCTTCCACCAGGTGTGGATGGCAGAGCAGCTCCTCACTCAGCCAGCTGATACCACCTGATGGGAAAATAGCATAGCCGCCTGCTTCTGCCAGGCGGGCAGTGGAAGACCACTTACCCACTCAGCCTCATTGACATAGCCTGAGAAGGGAATTGGAGTGCCACTCACTTCCACTGGTTGGGGGATGGAGGGTTGGCTCTGCTGACACCGCCAGCTGGAGAAATGAGAGCATTGCCACCTTGTTCTGCAGGGCAGAATTGTAGGTGGACAGTCAGCTCCTCACTTGGCCCTGCTGAAACTGGGGGTGAGGGGATGTGTGTTTTCCAACGGTGTTTCCTTGGAGTAGGAGACAAAAAAGGTTTTCTGTTCTTTTAGGCCACCCTTTCCCAGGTCCGTTGGCTAGGGAGAACAGGTTTTTCTGGGAGCTTTTGGTGTCCCTCCCTTTTGGCAGTTCCCGTTGGAGGCTTTTGCAGCGCCTGTCCAAGATCTATGGAAGGAAACCAGGAAACTCACACCTGTGCCTTTCAAGTCCTGAGGTCTCTCAGCAGTCTGCCTTCTTTCCACCCTTGAGAGTTTTCCTGTGCTTGTTTGCTGTGTTCTGTCTACGGTTTATTAGTTGTTAGAGGCAGTACCTGGGAGGGATGGGGCAGTGTGGCCAGAACCACCAGCCCAATCTTTTAATTTCAACATACAAGACTCACCTGTGCTGTTGTGTGAACCATAGAGGGCCCTATGGGAGCCTCAAGGAAGAAGACAAGAGTCTTGATGTGGACTTGCTAAGGTCTGAAGCGGCTGCTGTGCTTTGTTACTAAACGTGCTACCCTTGCTGTTCTCACCACCCTATCCCCTTTTTAGAGAAATGGGACCATGTCGCCACCACCACAACCAGGAGGCCAGGAACGACCAGAGCTCCGGCAAATCCTGCAGGTAACATGACCGCTCTGAGGGCAGTAAGGGAGGACGCTGAGCTTCGCCCGGGCAGTGTTCATTCAGAGGTTGAAGCCTGTCTGTGCACAGCCAGCTACGGCCTCCATGTGAACATTGGGTTTACCATAATGCTGTATACCTGGCCGGTCCTTGTGTCTTCTGTGTTTGCTGTGAAAAGTCCTGCCTGGGAAAATTTCAGGGAGGAAAGTGCATTTGTCCTTCCTCCTCTTTCCACCCGCTTCCCTTTCTGAAATCAGGGGAGGTGTAATGTTTGAAGTTGTATGAAGCCCATCAAACCTTTCCTTTAGGCAGATGGAGCATTTTGGAATGGCATTATTTGAAAGTGTCATGTGTCAGTAGAGGACTTTAGAACTCTGCTTCTTTGCCACTCTTTAGTTGCTGTCGTCTTTCTCTAGATTTGCCATTTTACCAGTCAGACATCTTCACTGATGTGAATAAGAGCTTGGCCCCCACAGAGGGGAATTCGGTTATTGCTCCCATGCCGCAGCCTGTTTCCAGTGCCTTAGGGGCATTCTAGCGCATTCCAAGTGCCCTGCCTTGTAGTGAAGAGACAGTCGTGGCCCGAGAGAGTTCCTGCCCTCGTGTCATCACATTTCCACTCTCAAAGGGGTGGTTTGTGACCACATAGCCCCTGCTTGACTGTCCAGCTTACGGATTCTGTATAGCTGGTTTTGAGTCTTGGGTTAATAACCTGCAGTCAGTGAGTATCCTGTTAAAATGGTCTGAGTGCTGGCCTAGGCAAAACACACATGGGAATAGAAATTAGTTGAGAAACTGGGGACGTACTACAAAGGCAGAAAGCAGTAGCTTGCTCCATCCCATTGGTATTTTCATTATGGGGTCAGATTCCAATGTAAAGGTTGCTTTTAACTCATGGTTTGCACTGAGCAATGGAGTTCACGAGTATTGTTTTGCTTTTCGGGGAAGTCCTCTACCCAGTTGTTAACCAGTTGGCTCTTTCCTTTCTGTGTTGGGGCCCATTGAAGGTAATGGTTTTGACTTGGCTGATGCCTTGGATAATCGAGATGATGGCCGCAGGAAACCAAGTGCAGGAGGAGGAGGTGAGTCTTAGCTGGTGAGAACCACTAGCCAGCACTGCAGCTCCCTGGTGACGTTCTGTTTCGTAAGCACCACGGCCCTGACCTGGCAGAGCTGGGGCCAGTCAATGCCCGTAAGAATCCTAAGACAGCGGTTCTCAAACATTTGGTCTCAGGACTCCTTTATAGTCTTGAAAATAATTGAGGGTCTCAAGAGTTTTTGTTCATGTGGGTCATATCTATTTATCATATTAGAATTTAAATGGGAAAATATTAATTTTAAATGTACACATACATGTAAGTTACATGTATATAAATTACATATATGCATTTAAATTGCTCATTACATGTTAACATAAATGACATTTTTATGAGAAATGTTTGACAAGACAAACACAGAATTTAGTGAGAGGAGTGGTATTGTGGTACACTTTTGCAAATTTCTGTCATGTCTGCCTTAATGGAAGAGCTGGATTTGCACATCTGCTGAGCATTCGGTCAGTGTGATATGTTGTCATGGTTGAAGTATGGGAAGAAAACCTGGGCTTAGTTATGCAGTTGGAAAAGGGAGGAATATTCCAATAGACTTTCTACATCATTGTAGACATTCTTCTTGGATCTGACACCAAAATTTGACAAGTGGTTGTTCCTTACAGGTTAATTGCAGTGTGGAATGTGAAACCCTATCTGTGACCTTTCTGTACCCAGTCCCATTGAACCATTGGACTCTCTTGCCCTTTGAATGGATCTTATGCCCATTCATGGTTTTGCAACATCGTGCACTGGTCCTTTGGAAAATATTGGTGCCCCGAGTTGTGTTGAGCTTCCAAATTTCATTATACAGCATCCAAAATTCATATTTGTTAATATCATCACCAGTCTCCTGGGGCAAATCTTTATGTATTGGGAAGATTATGGTACCAAATACATGTTGTTCAAAATTTAAAATTTTCCTTGAGAGCTTCAATTTTATCATTGATAACAAATACCCTCAATCATATTTTTGAAGTGACAGGATAATTTCATTCATTTCAAGAAAATGTTTGCTGAATATTCACAACTGAATAACCAAAGTTTCTCTGACATTTAGTCTTTCAAATAAAATTGGTCTTCCATGAGAAAAGCAGCTAATACCACTCAGAACTGAACGATTGCAGAGGTGGTTTTCCTCATCGAGTCAACTATTAGACTTTGGTGTACAACAGAAATGCTTTAGCCCTCCGTCCCATTCCATCAGACAGAATGTTAAAAGCTTGTACTCAGGGTTGGGACGTAATAAAATGAGTAGTTTTCCTCTGCTTCCTTGTATTAATTTTGTATTGCTTCATAACGAATTACCATAAACATAGTGACTTAAAACAATCTCCGTTCATTCTTTCATTGTCTCCCTGGGTTGGGAGTGTGGGTCCCGTGTAGCTGGGTTGTTCTACTCAGGGTCTCTAACCAGGCTGAAATCCTGGTGTTAGCTGGGGTGGGTTCTCATCTGAGGTTCAAGGTTGTTTTCATTTCCTATGGCTGCTGTAACGAATTACCATGAACTTGGTTGCTTAAAAGAACTAAATTTATTATCTTAAAGTTGTTGAGGTCGCAAGTCTGGAATAAGCCTCACTGGGCTAAAATCAGTTTGTTGTAAGAGCTGTGTTCCTTCTGGAGGCTCTGGAGGGTATCTGTTTCTCGGACATTTCGAGTTGCTAGAGGGCTCATGGCCCCATCCTCCACCTTCCCTACTCTGACTCTGAAACTGCTGCCTCTCTCTTTGCCTTTAAAGGGCCCTATAGGGTCACTATGAGTCGGAATCGACTCAACAGCAATGGGTTGTTTTGGTTTGTGTTTACATCTAGCCCACTTGGATAATCCAGGACAATCTCAGCATCCTGAACTTAATTGCACCTGCAAAGTCCCTTTTCCCAAGTCAGGGTTTCGGTGATTAGAATGTTGGCATTTGGCGGGGGGGGGGGGCATTATTCTGCCTACCACAGAGGTTCTCTTCCAAGCTCACGTAATTGTTGGCAAAATTCATGCCCTTGCAGCTGTAGAACTCACGACCGCTTGCTTCTTCAAGGTCAGCAGGAAAGCAAGAAAGAGAGTAGCTGCTGCTTTGAGTGTCTGAGTTCAGGGAGGGGCCTAAGCCATCTTTTAAAGTGCTCAACTGATTAGGTCAGGCTCACCCAGTCTAATCTTCCTTTTGATGAAGTCAAGATCAAACTGATTGGGCACCTTAATTACATCCACAAGATGTAAGTTAATCCACTCCAGTGACATCCATCCTCTTCACAGGCCCCTCTCACATTCAAGTTGTGGGAATTATACAGGGGATGTACACCAGGGAGTGGGAATCTGCGGGCCATGTTAGAATTCTGCCTGCCACATTCATCAAGGACTTGCATTCTCTTTCAGCTGCAAGTGTGTGGCAGTGAAGAATCCTATGACTACTAGTACCGTTTGGTGCCGCTGCCTTGATTCATGCTCAGGCGCCAGCAGGTTTACCTACCATTGCTTTTGCACCAATAGTGAAAACGTCAATCCAGTGAAAGGGGCAAACAGCAGCTAAGGATAATTATGAAAATAACTTTGACCTCGCGGACACACAGGGATCCATCAAGTACACTTTGAGAACCACTGTCTTAGAAGAGGACTTTACATAGTTACGTTTCGTCAATAAGTTTTCTTTCCAGTCACTGATTCTCTTCAATATTAATGTGCAGTGAGCATGTGTTTGTGGGACTGGAGAAAGCAAGAAGGGCATTTTAGATGTATTTCTTTGTATCAGGCTATACCTTTACAGTTTTACTTCTGTAGACAGTAATAAATTTAGTTCAACTTTTGGGAGGACAATTTGGTAAAGTCTATCAAAATGGAAAATGTTCATACTCTCTGAAATGGGTTTGTGTTAAATGTACAGATCCATTTGGGGAGAGTTGACATCTTTACTATGTTGAGTCTTCCAGTCCATGAACACAGTATATCTCTCCATTCATTTAGAACTTCTTTGATTTCTTTCAGTAGCATCTTGCAATTTTTTACCGTGTAAGTCCTGTATGTGTGTCTTAGTTGTCCCGTGCTGCTATAACAGAAATACTACAAGTGGATGGCTTTAACAAACAAATTTATTCTCTCACAGTCTAGGAGGCTAGAAGTCAGAATTCAGGGCACCAGCTCCAGGGGAATGCTTTCTCTCTCAGCTCTGGGGGAAGGTCCTTGTCATTAATCTTCCCCCGGTCTAGGAGCTTCTCAGCATAGGTACCCCAGGTCCAAAGGATGCACTCTGCTCCCAGTACTTCTTTCTTGGTGGTATGAGGTCCCCTCTCTCTGCTTGCTTTTTTCTCCTTTTATCTCTTGTAAGATAAAAGGTGATGCAGGCCACACCCCAGGGAAACTCCCCTTACATTGGATCAGGGCTGTGACCTGAGTAAGGGTGTTATACAATCCCACCCTAATCCTCTTTAATATAACCTATTCCTGCCTCTTTAACTGCAGGCAGAGATAAGGATTTACAGCACATAGGGCAATTACATCAGATCACAAAATGGACGAATAACCACACAATACTGGGAATCATGGCCTAGCCAAGGTGACAGATCTATTTTGGGAACACAATTCAATCCATGACAACATGTTTCATAAGTGTATATATAAGCATTTCATTTTTTGGAACAATTATACCTTTCGGTTAGCAGCTGAGTGCTTAAACCACTGTGCCACTGTGGCTCCTGATATGTTTTTAGTTTCATATTCCATATATTTATTGTTATTATATACAGTTTGTATTTGTTGCTCTTGTATCCTGTACCTTACTGAACTCACTGATTCATTCTAGAAGTTTTTTTTTTTTTTTCTTTTTTTTTCTGTACTCCTTGGAATTTTCTACGTAGATAATCATGTCATTTGCAAATAGGGACAGTTTTATTTCTTCCTTTCCAATCTGTATGCCTTTTAATTCTTTTTCTTGTCTTATTGCAATGGTTAGAACTTCTAGTACTGTGTTAAGTAAGAGTAGTAAGAGTGGATGTCCTTGTCCTTTCCTTGATCTTAGAGGAAGGCATTCACTCTTTTACTGTTAAGTCTGATGATAATTGTAGATGTTTTCTAGATGCTCTTTATCAAATTGGGGTAGTTCCCCTGTGTTCCTAATTTGCTGAGAGTTGTTTTATATATATGTGTATATATATACACACACACACATACACATATATGTTGTTTCATTTATTTTCTATATTGCTTTCCTATTTTCAATTGCATTGATTCTACTCTTACATTTATTATTGCCTTCAGTTTTGCTTTTCTTTTTCTAGTTTTTTGAGATAGGAACTTGAATTATTGATTTGAGACCTTTCCTTACCTTTATTGTAAGTATACAGTGCTGTAAATTTCTCTCAGTGCTGCTTTAACTGCATCCCACATATTTTGTTCTTTTGTATTCTCATTTATATGTATTTTTAAATTTATTTTGAGACTGACACTTTGACTTTTTTTTTTTTTAGAATTGTATTGTTTAATTTCCAAGTGTTTAGAGATTTTCTT